GACCACTCTCCTCCTCGTCCCATTCTTAACTTCCAAACGGGCTGCAGCTTCAATCTCCTTCCAGTGGCCTTTTGCAATTTTTTGTACATTCACTGTGTCGTCCTCCAGTTCCCTGTTTTCGTCCKTGAGTAAGTTTACYTGTACCACCAATAYTGCAGYTTGCCTTCTCAAATCCTGTACCTCTTCCTCTTCACTCTCTCCCTTCTCCCGATCCTCCTCCATTGCTGCCTCCTCCATTGAGTCATTTCCCCCACCGGCTGCGCTGCTTTGTTCCTCCACCGTTTGCGCCTTCCGTTTCTTGTTGTCCTTCTTCCTTTCCTTGTTGTGATAAGTCTTTGGCCATTGGAATATCCTCTCATCTTCTTCCTGCTTTATGTGGATCTCATTCCTTACTGTGCGGGTCTTACTTGCGTACTGAGATGGATATAATTCGTTGATTTCTCCTTCCCTCCTTAGCAGTTCAAACCTGTTCTCTGATGTGATATCCTCCCCTGCTTGTGTGGCTTGTTGGAGGTTCCTCAGGTGTTTATGGTGGGCCAGTCTAATTTCACACTCTATCGTCCTCCCCCATTCCAGCTGCTCTACCTCCTTTATCCATCGCTCCCTTGACCAATCATCCACATCTGTGTCTTCCTGCTCATCTTCTTCCTCTTCTTCTTCTTCCTCTGATGAAGCTTCGCTTACTGTGTCCGCTGCGCTCTCCCTCTGGTCCTCCTCTGCCTGTACAATCTGCTCCACAGTCATATTATCCGCGTTTTGCATGCCCCTCCTTTTCGCCCTTTCTCTTATCCTTTCTTCATCCACTGACGTATCATGTCCCTGGGATCCCTGGGATCCACTCTTGTCCTCTTCCTGCTGTGAGGGCCCCTCTGAATGATCCTTGTCCGTCATATCTTCCTCTCTCCCACCTGCCATGTTTGTCCCTTCCCCTGCCCTGTTTCCTCTTGGGGCCTTCCCCTGTGAGCTTGTGTCTGCCTCACTCTCCTTCCCCGAACTCCCTGATGATTCCTTACTTGTTCCACTCCCCTCCTCATCCTCCCCTGAAGTAGCCCCCTCCCCTGATTGGGTCTTTTGTCTCCTTTTCCCCTGTTGCGGCCCTCTTTCTTKAGTATTAGATCCATCCTCCCCCCTTGACTCTCCCTTCCTCTTTGTGGAAGAAGTCCCTCTCTCTGGTCCTTTACTTCCTCCTTCCTCACAGTCCATGTTGTCTCCCTTACCCTCCTCCATTTCTTTTGACCCCTCTTCCCCTCCTCTTGCCTGCACCTGCTGCTGCGCTCTGGCCTCTGCATTTTCCAAGAAAGCCAATTCTGCATTTTTTCCAACCTCGTGCAGTTCTCCCATGAGTTTCAATCTCTGTTCGACATCTTGCATGATCGCATCATCCAACATGGGTTTAACAATAAAACCCGTTTCTTTGTCCTCCATTCTCTTAGCTCCAGTGTGTCTCCACCTGCTATCATAGGGTGGATAGATGTCCGGTTTTACCGTTGGATCCTTTTTCAACACCCACACCCACCTTGGGCTTTCCAGGTTGTCATCAAATATCCATCCCCTGTACTGAGCGGAATTGATGTACCAGACACCTGGTTTACTCTCGCATTCCTGCAGCATAGTTTGTCTCAATGCAACCCGCTTTCCCCCTGCTCCTCCTGATCCTCCTTGTGGACAAGAGGTTCCAAGATGACCTCTACCCCTGCATTTGAAGCAAAATGGGTTAGTCTTGGTGGAGATAAAAACTTTAATTCTCTGACCGCTTTTCTTGAAGATCCATTGCTCCGGGAACTTTGGCGGTGCCCCTGACTTGACCTCTAGACATGCCACCCTTGCATCATGATTAGGCGCCAGGAAATCCGGATTGGCTGGGAGCCATTCTATGATAGGATTACTTGGGAATTCCTCCTCCAGCCTTCTTTGTACAAAGCTATGCATCCCCTCCGACAGGTTGTCAAACTGCACCCAGAAATGGTTCCTCATCATTGATTGCCTGTGCCTTGATGCCTCAGCCTAAGGTGGTCTTGGCGGCTTCCAGGGTTGGATTGTGACTACAACTCCCTTGCATTTCAATGCACCAATCGACAACAGATACTGGGCATAGGTAGGATCCACACAGACGATCATCATGGCGAATCTTCCCCTCCTATGGAACGAAACTTCTGGTTCCTTCCCTGGTACATCTTCCATGGCTATCAGCCTGTCCATCACCCACCTTCTCTTCTCATTCAATGAAAGTTCCTTGCTTCTTCCCGAGAAGTTGAACAGGACCGCGTTGTCGAGCGCATCGGTCCCGCTAGGGGACCCTCCCGGCCGCGTCACGCAGGATTTGGCAGGACTTCCGTCGCGGAGAGCGAAGTGCCACTCCGGCCGAGTGCGCCAGTCGTACCTCTCGCGAGTCCCTGCGACAGGACAGAGCCACGC